CCCCCCCCCCCAAAAAGGGAGAACTTTGTGATCAAAGAAGCAGCATTCATTAAAACACATCCTCGTGCATTCAAGTTCAACATCCTCTCGTCCCGTCTTTTCTTATCCTCCCTCATTCTCCCTGAGTGATGCCCTGACTAAGATGTCCGCCACTTGACACTGGACTGACATTGCGAGGAGCCATCTTGGCTCCTCCGGGAGTTGCCCGGGCTTGATTGTGCAGTCTGGGAGTGAAATGCAACTGGCACCCAGGGGGCATCCATGTGGAGCCCGGGCGTGCGAGATCGAGGGGGAGTTAACTAAGCCGGCCCAGTCCCTGTGCATCCTGGCGGGGTCACAGGATGGTGCTGAGGGCGCTAATCATTTCAAATTATGAATTCCTTTTTAATTATGAATTATGCATACATTTTTAATTAATCTAATGTTCCCAGGGTTTTTTCCTCCCATCCTCGCTCAAGATCTCAATCTAATTACACAGCATTAAGTGGAAGAGTGGCAGCCGTAGCCTCGACCCCGCCGCTGAACCTCAGTCGACCTTTTTCCATCAATCTTGCCGTCGTCTCCAAAGCTCATCCTTTGATATTTTTGCAACATGGTGAAATGCATCTAAACACGGTCTGAGCCTAGTATACCTTAGAGCAGCACGTTTGTCAAGTTTGTTAAAATCATGCTGTATCATTATGTTATAAAACTCAGGAAAACTCTGTGTCACATTGCAACTTTACCAAAAGGTAAATAATACTGAATTACACGTCCACGTTTTAAGTCTTAAACTGTTTCATGAATGGGAAATATTACTGCTACCACTACTACATTACATTACAGTCATTTAGCAGACGCTTCTATCCAAAGCGACTTACAATAAGTGTATTCAACATAGGTATTCAAGAGAACTACTAGTCACCAGAAGTCATAAGTGCATCTCCTTGTTTACACAAGCATCTAAGAGCATAAACCAGAGCAAAAGTACAGTGCAGAAACAAACCAGTATGAATACAATAAGTGCTAAGTGGAAGGCTCAGGTCTGTTTTCAGCCTGCGTCGAAAGATGGGCAGCGACTACTACTAGTCATGGGTTTTGAGGTGCAGACAACCAGCTCTTAGTATCGACTGGAAGAAAGGCTTTCCACCAAAGTACAGTAGATCTATGTAAACAATCCTTAACGCAGGGCTCCAGAACGACTTTTCACCATTTTGTCAGTCATAATAATACCGACACAAAACGGCGCAAAGATAATTGTTGAAAGGAGAACAATGCCTAAAGGTTACAGATCTTCAACTCTCCTGACAACTGATAAGATGAGGGGGAGGAAAATGAATCCCTGAACAACTTTTGTTGAGGTGCCCTTGAGCGAGTCATTTGGTAATCAGTGGCCAACGGCAGATACAGGAGGATGGACAACTGGGCAGCCATCGAATGTCACTTTAACTATCTATCTAACTAACTATATTCTACTGTGAGTCTACCTTAGATGGACAACTAATCTCATGTATGGTAGAAGAATGGCACATCCGTATTGTACTGACATTTTAAGCAGATATGAAATGTACAAACAAGACCATTTATCTACAAGATTAGATATGAACATACTGCATATGCTCTGATTTAAGTCATGACTTTAGTGCTGCTCAGTGGGGCAGTTGATTTCAATGTGCATGTCCTACTCTGTTACTAGCAATCACTGGAGAAAAAAAGCTCAATATCAGAACATTCTCAGGCATCTTACTCCTGCATGCTTACTTCCTGAAATATTGTAAATATGCCAAGAATATCTCCTCTCATTGTACAAAGAAGTGGCACAACACAAGGAAGGTGCCAGCAAATCAGTTAGATGAACAGTAGCCACCATTTATACATGGGTGGAGCCTCTTGTCATTGAGATGCATCATCTTTTGAATATAGATTTGCTAAATCAGATCTCATAGGTGACATCTTTCATGTGTTTATCCCAGTGTAGCAGCAGTTGGGCGGGTCATTATTGTTATATTATTGGAATATTTCAAGCTTTTGTATCTGTGAATGACTACTACAGTTTTTTTTATATTAATATAAAGTACATATACACACTGTGTGTACTGTGTTGTGCTAAAACACCTTTAGTTGTACAGGTGCCACTAGTTGTTGTGGACAATTAGAGTGCTGAATGCACATGTTCAAACCTTTATACATATAAAAAGGCAACACGTGTCTGTTTAAAGCTCCAATGTTTATTAAGAAACTCATCTATTTATATGAAATATGTTCTTCTAAAAAATTGAAATAACCGAAATCTATTGAATCAAATATAGAGTATGCTGTCTTCCACAAATCAGTGTCCTAAGAGCAAGTTTTGAATTCTTTGGTTGTTGCCCAACCCGGTTTAAAAAGGCATGTGGTACTTGTGAAAAGGCTAAACGTCCATGGCCTACTTTTCTATTGTTCTCATGGGAGACACACAGAAACCAAGGTTGTATGGATGAATAATCCCGTGTACAAGGCATCCCTGATATCCTCAAATATGCACAATGATAGCTAAGGTCTGGAAAAACAACAGCTCAAACACACGCGTCTGAATATAAGACCCAGGCGGGTTTTACATTTGATTCCTATGTTGTTTCCATTAAACGTCCAACATGATTGTATTTTCCGCTGTCAACGCTAAAACCGTCTATTCCCTCAAGGCTTGAATTATCTCTAAGACATTTTAGGATCCCATTGTTTAAAAATCCATTAAAAGCAGCTCACAGAGACACACTGCAGCCTTGACCTGAAACGTTAAACATAAAACTGTGTTTACACTTCTTACGAATGTTATTTCTGGTGACAGTAAAGAATCAAAACAAAACTTAAGGCAAAGGGGAGACATCTAGCCGGAGATCAGAACAGTTGTCTTCACGTTCAAGTCTGGAGGAAGTGAAATACTTTTTATATAAGTGCAACTGAAAGAAGCGGAGTTAGGGAGTCAAGTTGAGAAAACAGCACAACAAACAAAACAATTATGGATTAAAGGCGTCAAGCTAGTGTTCCTGTGCACGCTGTTTTTCAATATGTGCTCCATTTAGACAGAATTAACTTAACTGCAGTACATAATATCCTGGACAATGGTGGGTTCAGCCTTTTTATATAACTGCAATAAAGGAAAACTTGATTTACATCTCCTCAGATCAGACTGGGGGGTTAAACTTTCAATTTCTATAGTTTCTTACCTGCTACTGCCATTATACACAGGCTCCCAAGTTTGTCAAAATATACAGTTATGGATTGACTAAATTAGAGCTAGTACAAGTAATCTATTAGGCAACTGTTACAGTGCAAGTATTTCAGCAAAAATGGCAAAATTAAACCGGCTCCAGCTTTCCAAAAGTGTAAAATATAATCTTTTTTGTGGGTTTTTCTTTCATACCAGACTGAAAATCTGACTTTTTCAAAAACGAGACATTTTCATATGCCATCAGGGGCTCTGCGAAATTGTGATTTATTTCTTTGCCATTTGCTGATATTCTAGTAGATTCATTGATAATGAAAGCCATAGTTGCCGCACTATTGTGAATAAAGTTATACTTTAATCAAAAAGAATGATGCTAACCTGAAAGCTTCATAAGCAGGTCAGTTGCCGTCTTGGTAGTGATGTCAGGGCTGAAGAGGGAGGCTGTGGATGGACCACTAGGACTGGATCTGACCCCGACTCCTACCCCGACTCCAGGTAGGTCCAGGGAGTTGGCACTGCTGCTGGGACGGTCCCTGCACATGCTAAAGGGCGAGAGCACGGACAGATCCCTCTCCTGTGGCTCCTCCTTGATGTGGACGTGATTGGAGGAAGCCTCGAGCTGAGAGGACGTCTGCTGCTGGGAGTCCGAGTGCAGCGGGGACACCGCCGTCCCTCTCAGGTCCGTGGGGCCGCTGTCGCCCATCAGGGAGCCCTCGCCCTCCGTGTCGGTGGTGAGCTCCTCTTTCACCTTGACGTCTGTGCGGGGGAAGTGCTGGTGGCAGCGCATGTGAAGCTTCAGGCTGAAGTGACGGGAGGAGGTGAAGGGGCAGAGTTCGCACTGAAATGTCTCGCCCCGGTCCTGGTGCTGATGTACCTGAAAAAGAGGACAGGTTTATGTGTCAAACCGCTCTTCTTCTTCTCCTGTACTACAGGACATCAAGAGGAAAGACGTGACTCTTTATCGTAGATCAATTTAACTGAAACGAAGCAAACATGCAGTGTTTAATTATGCCATGTAAAGGATTATTACACATTAAACTAAAGCATGCCTATCCCTTAATGTTAACAATTATATTCCAAGAGACATAATTGCCACTAATTGAAGATGATGTGGGTGAGGGGGGGGGTTTGACAAGGGGTGCAGGGCCACAAGATGAAGAGAATCCATATTTTCTCACCTTCATGTGGGACTTAAGATTGTCTTTGCGAGCACAGCGGAAGGGACACAGGGGACACTGGTGGCTTTTCAAGCCCGTGTGGATGACCATGTGTCTCTTCCAGTAGCTCTTGCGTTTGATGACCAGTCCACACACCGGACACTGGAACGGTTTGCCGCCCTCCTCAGGAGAGCCTTGAGGGCACCAAAGAATATTGTTACAAGGAGAGTCACGAGTGTTTTAGTGAGTGGAAATTTGTACCATGTTGCTGAAAAATGCATCTTTGTTACTGTAAAGAAATAAAAACAAAGCTTTTTTTCCCCAAATACAGAATCCACAGATCTGCAAGAGACAACTACTCCTCACCTAACGGTGAAAACTATCAAGGGAAATGCCAGCTGGAAGCAATGGAACAATGGAAGTAAAAACTCAAGCATGTTTTAGTATCTCGATTATTGTTGTTGGCTTCATATCCGGCATCCATTACTGTTTAATTGGTCTTATTAGAAAGAGGCATGATTGCATTACAAATTCTACAAGGGCCTGTCAGGATGGCTTCATAAGTATTCCAGTGCCGTTCCTTGAAAAACATCTGGTAATCAGTGTTTGGTGAAATTACTGTGCTCAGCCATTCATTGACCTGGGGTGTAAAACCTCGAGACTGCCTATTTGCAACAATAAACCGCCATCTGCGGCCCAACCTCTCCAAGCACAGCAGAGATCACCACGCAAAAAATGACTTCTGCTTATTCTGAGCTGAGCCGAGCGAAGCGAAAATAAAAAAAATAGGAGAGAGGAAATGTGCGTGTTAAGTACCTTCGTCTTAGTATTTAACACGTCTCTTTCCTACGCAATCACAAGCGTGTTTTAGAGAAAGGGAGGAAGATTTCCGTTTATATTCAAAGTGCAGGACATGCCCGTGCGATAGAGTTTTATAGTTGAACTGGCAAAGGGACGACAATAAAACAAGACATGACAGTCAATAATCAAGGTCACATTTTTCAGTCTGGCGACCAAACAACTACCTGCATTTATTTTACAGCGCTGCTCGACCTTGACGGCTCGCGGGTTAGAGCAGACGCTCCTTCTTAGCATGCAGATCACAGAATATTACATCGACTGCCTCGTCTGTCTGAAGTCAATTTGATCCAGCCATTTTAGATTTGGCGGGGTTGCGACACAATCCCTCAAAAGTGCCCATCCATCTCCCTGAAAACATTCTGTTCTCCCTAAAGGCTACTTAGCGAGAAGCCTGCACTTTGAAGCTTTCCCTCTCTCCCCGTGCAAGAGTGAGATCTTTGTGTGCACCCTTGTTTGGTTATACGTCTACATCTGAGTAGACACTTACAGAATATACGGCATGGCTATTTGTGAGTAACACAGAGAGAGAGAGAGAGAGAGAGAGAGAGAGCATTGGTGGGAGAGAGACAGAGAGAGTGTGCGCGCGCATGCGTGTGTGCGCGCGCGCGCGCATCTGTATCCAGTCAGTGGAAAGTATGATGTGTTTGGCCTTAAGTCTGCTGTGCTGATCAGTGCAGAGGGCTCTGGCTTGTGGGGGTTGAAGCCAGGAGTAGGCTGCCGAGATGGATATGGACTCCACGGCTCCCCACTGTGCCGAGCACACACTGACGGCCCCCTTTTTGGCAGCACGCACATCCGAGCACAAACGAGCTGGTCTGGGAAGGCAGCGAGGTCTCAGTCGGAACCCCCCGTCGAGCCCGCAGACCATTTCCCAGACTAGAGGGCCAGCCAGGGCTGTTTTCTCTCGGCTCTGCTCTCTGCTCGGCTGACAGTTAGGCTGAGGCTACACTACCCGCTACTTCGACGACAGTGAGGCGAGAACAAAACCATTACGAACCCAGAGAAAACATGTCACGGAAAGTCCAGAATTGTGCTTTTTTTTTTTTTTGGAACAAGCAAACCTGCTACTCCTCCATGCAATGACAGCAAAGAATTTGTATCTTTGAGGAGCTTCCATTGCGATACTAACTTATATTTATGAGTGCTAACTAACGGTTTGGATTTGCGTGTCATGACATAAGTGGAATTTGTTCTTTGGTAAACGCTGAATGGGGAGAAGTATTATGATAGACGTATTATGAATGTACTGCAGGTACATTTGTACGATTACTTTTCGAAAGAAAACGGTATGGTGAAGGAAAATGAAAATTTTCCATAAATGAAGTGCAGCTGAAATGATCTTGAATCTCTAGACTCTCTTTTCCATACAAACACAAGGTCCTTTTATTTAACTGTGGCAAGCTTGTTTGAGTTTAGGTGTCCTGGTTCTGTGGCAAGACACAAGACATTAAATGAATGTCTCAGTGTTTTGTAACTAAAGAAAAAAAAAAAAAAACATCTTTTCACTGAAAAAATATCATAAAATGTACCTAACCTAAGCTGAGCTCCCCTCTTATTATCTGTATTGGTGCGACCATTATCTTGATTGATAGTATTAATATGCATATATTAATACTTTAGATTACCTGCTTGGCTGTTGGGTTTGCCTCTGCTCTTTGGAGTCGAGGGCAACAGCAAGTCTAGGCTCTGGGTGGGTGTAGAGGGCGTGGGAGCCCTCTGGTTCTTGTCTAGCAAAGGCTTCACGTCCTCTTGGAGGACCCCGGCAGTCGCCAAGGAGGAACCATCTTTCTTCTCTGCCAGCAGGTTTCCCGCTGCCCTGGCCGCCACCTCTTTGAGCAAGGCAGCAGAGGAGGTCATCGACACGAGCGAGAGGAAGGAATTGGAGGATTGGTGGTCGGTAGCAGCGCTGGTCGTCGACGAGGTTTGACTCCGCTCGCTGACTTTCTTGGAAAGCGCAGCGAGGGTGGAGCTGGCCGACTGTGGGCTGAACGGAGAGTTGAAGGCATCGAAGCGCACCACGTCGTCTCCTCGACCGCCCCCTCCGAGGGCGGGCACCGCAGACGAGCCGGAGGTGGACGAGGAGGAAGAGGTCGTCGAGGAGGAGGCCACGGCGTTCTTGTCTTGAAGCACGGCGTTCGCGGCCGCTTTTAGCTTCTGGATGGCTGAGTCCGGGGACAGGCTGGAGCCACAGGGCGTGGAGCAGCTGGCCGGTGGCCACTTATCTGCAACACCTGCCCATACAAAGCCACTGCCGTTGGTAGGGGTGACAGAGTTAAAGGGGTCAAGGGGCTCTTGCTTAATGTTGGTGACCGAGGGTGCCAAGGAGGCCGGTGAGGCTGAGCCGCTGTTGTTGTTGTTGTTGGCGGCCAGTTTTCGGGCAAGAGCACTTAACTGCTGGGCATGATGGGAAGACGGGGAGAGGGTCAGAGGCGGGGCGAGACCTATTGGTGGAGACTCCCCCCCCAGCACATCCCCTGGATGACCGGCCCAGCAGCTCCCCGGTGTCCATTTTCAGCGACCCGGCCTCTAGGAGGCGCCGTAAGTTGCTGCTGAGGGGTTTCCCCAGGGCACGAGACGCCGCCTCTCCGTACAGCGATGATACCACAGAAGAGAGTGTGTCCTGGGCCGAGAATGCACTTCCATCCAGTCCGAGAAGTTCCAAAGAGGCACGATGGACGGGTGTGGGGCAACCCAATGAGCTCTCACCCCCACAGGTATCGTGGTCCCCGGACCCAGTGCTGACTCCGGGCCGCTCATCCGGAGAGGAGCCCCGGGCGAGGAGGAGTTCATCCTGGGTGTCTCCGTAGGACGACGACTCTGAGCGCGTGTCAGAAGCATTCCCAAACCAGCCTTCTTCCTCCACAGGACCTTCGTCAGGCCCTCCTTCCTCGTTGCTGTCCACATCTGGAAGAGGAGAGAGAGCATACATACTGATATCACCATGTACAGTAGCTATAGCGAACAGAGTAGGCATTATCTTTCAGCTGAATACTTGAGTATCCTGAGTATGAATTGTGAACATCAAAGACTTACTACAAAGAGTTAAGTAGAGGGCTTAGTCATAGCTTCTGGCTACACAGCTTTCTAAATTGGAAATTTCGATTCACTGTTATTATGTCCCATCCCGTCTAGTGTTGCAGAGCAATAAGTGATCTGTACTTTGTGGAATTGAGACCACAATTTTGAAAATTCATGAAAACAATTACCTGCCCAAAACCAAGTCAAACAGCCATTTAAAGAAGCAGAAAAACTCACTTCATTGCTCAGCGAGGACACACTCGACATCTTTCTAACACAATGGCAGCTCTACACAAGGTGCATCCAAGATATTTGAGTAATTTAGATTTTTTTCTTTTTTAAACCATATTTTTTTCCCACCCTTTTGGTCTGGAAGAGTCTAGTAAAGGGGTTACCATGACAACGGGTCCTTCTGGGAGGCTAGACAGCAAAGATTAGGGTAATGGAGGTTACAGAACTAGATTAATATTCATGAGCCTGCAGATACCACCGGGGAGCCAATAAGGGATAGGGTTAAGGTCACCAAGGGTCATTAATATACACTTCATGTATCAATATTCATAAGCAAAACATTACAGCTTGCCAGACAAGGGCGAACAAAGAAAAGTGAATATTCCTGATCCATATTAACAAACCTCCATAAGAACATGTCAAAAAATCACCGAGCCTGAGCAAAACTAAATGTCAAAACTGACTCCCCCCCACCTCCTCTTTGGGTTTCTGATGAGAAGGAACTGGCTGAGATTTCTCACTCATACAGTTGCAAAAACATGTGGCTTAAAAAAAAAAATGCCTCACACACACCGAGATACAAACGGTACTTTCACACACACCAAAGCTGCCCTCGCCCTCTCAACCCTGACCGATGTCTGGTGGGCCTGCTCTCTGTTTACAGGCAAAGGCAAAACGGTTGCGAGGCAACCCGGCCCAGCGACCTGTTGGGATCATTACGAGTTGGGCCGACATCTGGCCAGCGTGGCTCGCCGTTGGTCCACAAAAGGTGACCACAATCACAACCCACTATGACCGCTACTCGCCTGCTGCAACAGATATCAAACAGAGCTCACACACAAACACATCTTACATTGTTTTCAGTAACCACATAACTAGAAACTGACAGGAAATGTCAGATGCCAAAAACCAAGGCAACAGATTATGTTATTAATAATGGCCTCATGGCTCTCCAAGCTGCCTATGAACTAATAGACTTCACCCTACACTAAACAATGTAAGAGTCTGATGAGGGTACACATCAAGCCTGACCTTTCTCCATTTCTTTAGGTGAATGAAAACATCATAATGTGCTGCATGTGAACCCGATTTTCCCCATGCTGCTTGAAGCCATTTTGCCACCTCAGAAGGGTTAACAGGAATGAAAGGGAGGGAGCGGGAGAAAGAGCCTGTGAGTCATGCAGGGCAGGGCTTGACCCATTTCTATGTGACATGTGAAAAGCAGCGAGAGCAACTAATGGCTGTAATGTGGTTAGAAGGAAATCGCTAGATTGCTGACCCAAGGTCTCAAGCTTTGAGGCTGAACTCTCTGGCTTCCTAGGCTCACTCTTAAACCTCTGAGTTAGGTACAGCTGAATGCAGCCCAACACCACTAGGGCTCTGCCAGAGAGCCACGGTGCACTGATTCACTCCACTGCCAGGGCTTTGTGTGTCGCAGGCGAGCCACCAACCGTGGGCGGAATGACATTTCCCAAGGTTATGGTCTCCGGCCCGAGCTGTAAGGGGGGGCTTCGTCTGAACTCCGTTCTCACAACTGCCGCTGTGTGCCCACCACACGCATGGGCGCAAACATATGCATACGTATGTGTCGACTGCAAAACACTAAATACACAGCCAAGAATGTAATTTAATGCTTCTCCCCCCTCTGACACACATTCAACTGCTTTGCCTCCAGTACGGTGGCTGGCTCTGCGACAGTAACTGCACCCCCCCCCCCCCCCCGAAGTGATGGAGGCATGGGGATACGGACCGAGGCGGCAAGCGTCTGCCACTGAAAGGGAACCATTTAGTGGTGTAATGGCGGGGATGACTTGCATGTTGAGACAAACAGCTGCGGGGTGCTCAGCAGTCTGGATCTGTTATCACTTACACACGGGTGATTCAGTGGCGCAGCAGCGGGGGATTTTCTCTCTGGGCCACAGAGACGTATAGCGCCACAACGTTATAAACAAAGAGAGGGAGCCATAATAGGTCAGAGTGCAAGCTGAGGCTACATAAAGAGAAGGTCGGGAGGCTTCAAGACCGGCTGGAATAAACTGCCTTGAGCTTGAACGGAGATGTACACCGAGCAGCTGAAACCGCTATGATGTAGCACCTCTGTGACTTACAGTGTTTCGAAATCCGTGTGTTGTGTTAACATGTCACAAAAAAAAACAAAAAAAAACAAAAAAAAAAAAAAAAAAAAAAAAAACTCACAGCCTGCAACTACAGCTTAAAAACAGTTGGACATTACAGGTAGTGTACTTGTTCATTGTTTCACCGTGCAGTGCTGTCAACAATCTCCATTTGTGAACTTGGCAGGATTATTTTGGCCGCGGCTTTTCTAGGTCAGAGAGGGGTGCATGCATGTGTGTGCACGCGCGCACACATACATACGAGTTTAGCACGGGGGGGTGAGCCAGATTTCCTTGTCAAACAGAATGGTTGCTGGTAAAGGGAAGAGTGTGAGTTAGAGAAGGGAGAGAAGAGCAAGGGACTGGAGTAAAGGTAGGTCAGGAGGTCACCCACCACATGACTTGTGCGAGGCTGCTGACTAGCATATTCCCTCTAACACACACACACACACACACACACACACACACACACACACACACACAAAGCTATTCTGTGACTTAGCCAGGCATGAAAATTGGCCTCACTGACCCCAGGTCTGAACTGGGTAGAGGAGAGGAGACGGGAAGGCGAAGGAAGGAAGGGACAGATAGCGGGATGGTTAAGGGAGGGGTTGATTTGTCTGGGCAGGAAAGAAGAGGAGGCCATTAGCCGATTAAGGCTGGACGGCGGTGCATCAATACTGTGCCGATGTCAAAACGAGAGTCATGCCCATGAGCTAATATAGCAATGAGAGTAAGAGAGAGGGAGCACGAGCTAGAGAGATAGTGCAGGTCAGGGAATCGCTAAAAAACGCAAAAGATTGCTCACCGCAAAGCCATAAAAAGTGAAATAACATAAAAGACGGCCACAACATACCAAGACTAAAGCCAACACATCCACATCGACAAAATGATTAGTCTTACATCTAGCCTGCTATGAATGGGTGTGGGGGTGGGGTGCATGTGTATGTCTTTGGGAGTGGGTTAAGGAGGTAGAGCAGGGGGTGAGTACAGAGGAAGGAGGGCAGCGAGTATGGATGTAGTGAGGAAGGAGCCACGGCGGTAATTAAGTGTCCGGCTGGGCCCTGGCGGGGGTTGCCACGGCCGCGGGCTATGCTAATGAGCACGCCCGGCGGTCAGGGCCGCCTTATTAGCGCCTGCTGGACAATATGGTGGAAGAGACTGGCGGGCTCACGTCTCTGCAAATGACTAACCGTCCTCCCGAGGAGGAAGGTAATTCCATTAATTGGGACACACTGGATCAGGATCGCTTCCCTTCCCTTTTCCCATAATCTCTCACTTGCTTGATCTCATTCACACCCACATGTCTTTCTTTCTTCCTGTAAATCCCTCCCTTCATCTCTTTCTCCATAACCAGGAATGCAAATATTAAGAAGAAATAAAGCACACATGCTCTGTGGGAGCTATCAGACGTATATCCCCCCCCAAATGAAATTATACACAATCAATCTGTTAAATGCTGTCCTTTGCAGGAGCAACATGATAATTGCTCCAAAGTTTATCCATCATGTTATTTCTATTAGGAAATTGGTGAAACACGACAACCACCAAGGGTACAGGCAAGACATGTGATCACTAAAGCAAAATGTCATGCAATGGAGCAGGTAACTTGGTGATGATGCGATAGCATCTGATCATCACTGCTAATCAGTGGGTTTGATAATCACTCATGATTCAGGTGGAGAGTGGTACTGCAACTTGAGGGGGTGGCAGGAGGCTTCCAAAACAAAAACAAACTCAATGAGTACAAATTCAAATGAGGTTCTGTGAGAAGTCGATGAGGGAAAAGTAGCTAAATCCAGGAAGACCCCGGAGTAACTTTGTTGCGTCAAAGTTGTGTTTGTGTCACTTTCGTCGCCGGACTGATTTGACCTTTTCCGTCCATTTCCCATTACTGACAAACACTGTGAAAAATTGTTTTCAACACATGCTCTTTGGTGGATTAAGTGTTTTTCGAATTACAGGAGATGCTTGGACAGATTCAGAAAATAATCTAATTTTTAAACCGGTAGATTTGGTTGGAGCTGCGTTGTTATTTGTTGCTGGTACAGACACCAGCTCAGAGTGGGAGTGTGCAGCCGGTGAGCAGTTCATGGCCTGCTTTAATCTTCTTTTCAAACGTATTTGTTGACTCCATCCTTCTGGTCAGCGCTAACTAAATCCCAAAAACCGCAGTTTATTTTTTGACCGTTCCCCCTGGGTCCTCTGGTAGAGCGCTGTGTAAACACACTGCCCCACTGTCACAGATTGATGCAACTACGACTCTTACTGAAACAATGCCATTCTTAAAGTACCGGTACGAACACAATGAGATATGTTACCGTTTTTTTTAACGGCAGGATATTGCGATCCCTTTCTGGTATCAGTATACCGTGCAACATTAGCTGCCAAAGCCTTTACTTTCAGTGCATTGAAAAACGAACAACGTTTCTTCCATGCAGGAGTAAGCTACACCATTAAAACACCCCTCTAGCAATTCATTATGTTGACACTGCCTTGATCTAGCGGGGGGAAAAAATCCTCCCGTGTATTGATCGAGGT